TCTAGCAAGCCGCACTCCACTCATTTCTTCATTTTCTTCAAGTGCTCATAAACTACTGAATGAAACACTTTTAGCAGCTTCATGAATACATAAGAGCACTCTTACACATTTTTAGTAGAACTTACAAAGATTTTTGCGACAGTCGTGTTTTCATCCCAGCTTCTGGTTCACAGGGTCAGTAAGGTAGAAGTAAACTGAGGTAAGATATTTCACTTCTTAAAATACTAAATACATCATTTTTGATGCAATGAAAGGATAAAGAGAGGACGGCTGGTTCACCTATTTGACCTTTAAACACAACATTGGATTTTGAATGTATGAGAAGCGTTGATGATTAAAGTGATATTAAGGTCAAAAGGTTTTTAAGCTATTTCACATGCAGATTAAATCACTTACAATGGATTCTGCTCCTTGATGTTTAAAAGTTTTAGTTTTCCCTACTCAGCTGCTTCTCAGAGCACTGGCCTGGATATCCTGTTTTAGGGTGGCTCCTCTCCCTTGCAGGGTCCTATAGAGCCACCCTTGGGTGTGCTAGTAAGCTGTTCCCCACTCCACCAAAGTCCAAATCCCATTCACACTGCCACGGTCTCGAAACCACAAGCTATATGTGGTGCTCCAGGTGACCACACGGATGGCGCCGTGCAAACACTAGTAATGAATAAAGGTTATTTACCGGCACACACTTGAAAAAGATTGTTTGAAGTATTGATATGTTTATTCAATACCAGTGTCACTGTCGCTCTGAGGAAGGATCCCTGTAAGGACCTGAAACGTTAGCACCATATGACAGTATGTGACATCTGGTATTGAATAAACATATCAATACTTCAAACAATCTGTTTCAAGTGTGTGCCGGTGAATTACCTTTGTTACCCACTCCAATCTCCTCCTCCCCTCCCTTCTCCAAGCTTGTCCCTTGTGATCTTGTAGTGGACAGGAAGTTCAGGGAAGCCGAGCTGCAACAAACGGTTCTGGTCTGGACATGATCCGGACGTGGTGTGAACAAGCCCTATAAGGAATACACAGACGTGGTAACTGAAGCAGGATGGATAAAGATACTGGACCAAAAGCAAGCAGACGATAAAGAAGCAGTTACAAAGATTACATTGATACAGTTGTCAGTTTGTGAACCCTTGCATGAGCTTGCTTTTAGTATTCAGAAAGTATGTACTGGTAAGAGCACACGGCAAACCCATTAGCTGAGGTGTGCTCTGCATTCATAAAAAACATCAACCAGGTGGCCAGTGTTGAAGCATTCCTCCTTTTGATGCATGATGAAGTTTTCCTGCATGGCTGCACTTTTAGGGGATCATTCAATAACAAAAGCTTTGCACTTTACAACAAGCTTGTGAGCATGCTAATGACATATATCCATCCTCTTTGTGAGTGAACTGGAAATTGTATGCAAGCTTAAAATGACACTAAACTCAGGGAGTTAAAGCGGACCTTTACCCAGATCTTTAAAATAACAACAAACACCCCTTTGGAAATGTTAAGTAATGACAATCTACAAACACATAATTCTAGATAATTGCCGGCTTTTTATTCTTTGCATATCTTATTTCTCTTTTCATTCCCAGTCTTCTGGCAGTGGCCATATTTACTGAGGGCAGATTACTAGATCTTCTATTACTTCCTGGATTTCTGGCACATGTGACTAGGACATGTGACCACGCACATCATCTCAGGGAAGGAAAATGTCTTTCTCTGAGATCTCATGAGATTACAGATGAGATTTCCCAGTAATGCACTGCTGATGACAAGACAATCCCAGTGTGCAATGCTTTGGCAAACGGAAGTCATTTGCCCTTTCAGAGCAGGAAGTGAATGCTCTGGAAGTGTAAGTATATCAAAATCACAGCATTGTACACCTGACATGTCTATGTTATTATTATACATCCTACATAGAGAGATGCATTGGGAGAATTAGATTTGAGTGTAAAGGTCTGCTTTACATCCTAAAAATGTATCCAAGTACTTTCTAATCGTTGATGCAGTGATATTGATAATCGATTTCGACTGCAGTGATGAAAAAATTCAAAAGGAGCATGTTCAAAAATTTTTCTCAATCAAAGGAAATTCTAGCAGTGAATGTGGTTTTCGTTTGGGAAACTCCATTCATTCCAAAATCAAACGGTAAATGGAAACGAAAATCAAACAAAATTTTGAACAATCACCAAGTCTCTGATGACATTATCGAACATTCCGCTGAGATTTTTCATAAAACCGTTTGTCCGAAAATCTACCAGTGTATACCCTACTTTAGTCTTGGGCACCTGATCCACCTGCTTATTTCAGGTCAATAAATCACACGTTGGTCAATTTATAAACAATTTGCAGATCCACTGGCCCTGCGAATGTTTTATCCATGAGAACAGATGCACGCAACAAACATTCTTGTATATTTTCTTTATAAGTCAAATGTATTTTAGAGTGTCATATTGTAATACCACATTATGGCCACTAGATAGCACTGAGGAGAGTAGGAAAGAAGTATTTATTTCCCATTTACCACATCTCCATCTAGTGGCCATAATGTGGCATTACAAGAGGGCATTCAACTTCATGAAAATTGACAAGGACGTTCCTTTTGTGCATCCATTCACAGAGCTTTGCAGGGCCTATGGCTCTGCAAATTCTTTATAAATAGACCCCTTACTATTCTTTAAAGAATAAGTGCACTTTCAGACAAAGGGCACTTATTGATATTTGCTCCTGTGCCCTGAGCTAACCAATCCCAACCTCATCTCAGCCATCAGATCTTGCTAAGTATGCATCTATCGGGGTGAAACGCGGGATCGTTACTTTAGAGCATAGGGGCATTAGTCAGCCTTTCTCAACCGTTTTAACACTGAGGAACCCTTCAAATAATTTTACAATCTCAGGGAACCCCTGCTTCTAATTATTATACATATACAGCTCAGGGTACATTACTGTGATGGTCAGTGAGAAGAATGCTCCTTACATTTGTGGCCAAGAATTCCATCGCCTTCCATACACTGCACGATTCTCGTACGATCGTGGGATTCCCCGCGAATCTCGTACGAGAATCGTGCAGTGTATGGGCACCTTTACTGAGAGCTAAATAGATGATTGCCATCAGTGGTTACTTATCTGTGATTTACATTTGAGATTAGAATGTTGGAAGTTTGCCGAGTAACTGCTGGGAAGGGAAGCAGGGTGAGATGAGCTGGTGAAAAAGACTTGATTGCGATGACATCATTGACCAAATATGGCCATTGCCATGTTTGGTTATGATGTCAGCCAGCATCCCTGCTCCTTTGCTTACATTCAGCTGTCAGCCAGGAAATCCCCTAGCTGGCAGGTGAATAGGCAGGGAGTGTATCATTGCTTAATTTTGGGCTTGACAAAGAGGTTAATCCTCGAAACGCGTTGCTCCTCTATTCTCCAATTCACCCCACCTAATCCTCTTGACACCCGTGCCTTCTGCCTGACACCGGTGGATCCCACAGGTTCACTGCTGTCAGACCATCAGGACCCCTCATGACTGCAGCGGTTAGTCCAGCTGCATGGTCACCCCCGCTCGGTCAGCCTGACACCGGCGGATCCCACGGGTTCACCGCTGTCAGTTCGTCAGGACTGCTCATCACACATCCCGCTACCACTTACTGTGACTGCAGTACACCCAGCGGCCTTCCTCCAACAAGCCACAACAAAGCCATCTCCAGCGCTGACACTGGACGAGTCCCGATCCATCCATTCATTCATTGACACATCAGGGCCTTTCACAGCTGGCGGCCTCTACGTCCCTTGCCTCCTACAGCCTCGGGGCAGCATACCACACTTGCCTACTACAGTACAATAGCAAGCCTTGCTATCTCCAGCCTCTGTATACTCTACACTATATTTCTTGCGGTGACCCTATTTTCATTACATATGGCATCCCAACCACAGCCGATAGGACGCCGCAGCCCACATTCGACAGCACCGTTTCTCGACCAAGGTTCTCACCAGCATCATGTGAGCAGATTGATTCATTTATTTTCACACACTTCCCGTTACTTATTAAACCTCCACATCCAGTTGTTAGGTTGGGGCGCTTTTGTTGTTTTCTTTGTCATTGGTTGCTAGGACTCTGGCGGCCACCAGTACCATAGCAAAGCAACCCACTAGCTATGAGCAGACAGCTGCCCAGCCACTGTGCAGTAAAGAACAGTGCAAACATGCCTTCTCTTTACTACAGAGGAGCCAAGTCTGCGCGCAGTCCTCTCTCTATATGCCAACTTGGCGTTGGTCCTCATTACCTCCTGTTTCGTTATCTGTGAACTAGAGGTAATTGTTTGTTAATTTGTTGCAGCCATAGCTGCATAGTGTGAAATTGGCGCAAATAAGAACTACCTGAATCTGCTGCACGTGTCGCAAACTCTTAATGAAACTGTTGCAAGGTTTTCATGCTTTAGGTGCTGGACATTTTAAAGGGACCATACCACCAGAAATATGTTGCAAATGCTTTATTGAATTGCCCCAATTAATACTTACCTCTCCAGTGGGCAGCAAGTCGAATCTCTGCTGTGTTCAAGCGGCAAAGTCACCATCTCTGACACTTCCGGGAGTGTCGGATGGTTGCGGCCCCCCCAATGACCACTGTGATTCCACCTGCTGGCTCCTATGTCACACTGTTAGGAGTAACAGGTGTTAGGAACCCTTGAGCGCAGCGGTGGGTGCGGGCAAACACCCCCAGAGGTATCAGATATAATGACTTTGCCAAAGGCTGTGCTGTGTTAACACAGCAGAATATGGACGCACCACCCACCGGAGAGGTAAGTATTCACGGCCATTACAAGGATCATTTTTAGAAGCAAAATAATCAATTTAACTGTAAGACAATATTGCATTATGATTGTGATGATTGGTCTTGCGATATCACATAGTCTACAAACGTTTCTAATGTAAACAATGTCACCCCCATTAGTAGCTACAGATACAATAGAGTCAGCTCGCACTACATACAAGCTTCCACGATCAATGCATGCTCTCACCTCTATAAACAGAGCGGAGGACACCGCTACACCATCTCACAGCCGCCATCTCTGCACGGGGAGGTCCCTTGCTCCGCCTGTCTTATGCTACCACATTTCCTTGTCTTTTCAAGACTTAAAACATATATTCAACCCGCGAGTATATAAATACAAATGACATTTGTAAACATTCTATTAACAGGAGTACGAAAAAAGTAATACTAACGCACTTGTGCATCTATTTTAATAAAGGCAATAATTAGGGCAGCTACAATAGGGGTCCTCGCTTTGTCAGGACCCATAGATCTTGACAGCAAAATTCAAGCGTGGACTAGCGTGTTTGAAAGTTCCGAGAGCACGTGACGTAATCAGGAAAGAAGGGCATGTGCACATCGCGGCCATATTTAAAAAGGGCACATGTCATTCAGGCGTCCTACTGAAATACTAGTTGCCTGGCTATTATTCTGGGCTAATGGATTCAATACTATCTGAATCTCTGCCCAAAAACAAGTTTGTAGAACACACCTTTCAGCAGGTTCTGCCTGACAACATAAAATTATTTCAAGGTATTCGCCAGGATAAAAATGTTAAAGAAGAACTTGACCCACCAATTTAAACTCAGTATTTAAACCTTAAAGTGTCATTAAACTCAAATATTTTTTTCCCTCCCCCCAATGTTAATTAAAGCACTTACCTTAAATTATGTTTCTTAATTCGATCTTCTTTACTGTTGTTTTCATCTGTCCCTCCAGCGCTGCTGCGTGTCTCCTCTGTCCTTGCTGGCACTTCCTGTCCCACGGTGTCTGCATGCGGGTGCACGACGTCCATATACTTACTTTGTGTCTCTCCTCGTTTCCCGGCCGAAAATGTGAACTGCCCAAGCGCCCGCCCCAAGATGCTTTGCGGCCGCCCGAGAATTTTCACATTTTCAGACGGGAGCGCGCGGGGAAGACAAAGGTAAGTTTAACCTCCTTGGCGGTATTCCCGAGTGAGGCTCCGGGTTAATTTTCAGTATCATAAGCGGTAACCCAGAGCCACACTCGGGATTATAGCCTAGCGTCTCTTACCTTGTCCACGATCCCCACTGTGTCCTCCGGCCGATGCCGGCATCCGTCCCTTGCGAGCGTTGCAGGGGGGCGGAAATAGGGTTGCCACCTGTCCATGATTCACCCGGACAGTTCGGGTTTTGAATGCTGTGTCCGGGTTTAATGGCAGCAGAAACCCGGACAAAAGATGTCAGACAGACAGGGGCAACCAAAATTAAGATAGGGGCTACCGTCCCCCCACTGAAAATAGTGATATTTACATATTAACGGGTGGCACTAATTACATATGAATACGCCGCGACTCATTCTCCAAAAAAATATCCACGTGTCGCCAGGGTGTTCGGGTTTCGCTTGAAGAAAAGGTGGCAATCCTAGGCGGAACAGGCGGGAATTTTAAAAGTTATAAAAAAATGAAAAAAAATAATAAGACCGCCAGGGAGGTTAAAGCGTTTTGTTGTTGTTTTTTTTACACTTTTTGCATATATCTACTGCTTGCTAGCATTAGATATATGCAAAAACACTGGAGGGTTTAATAACCCTTTAAAAATACATTCAAGTACCTTAACTATTAACAACAATGTATCTTATTTGTGTATCACTCGGCTGTAGATCCTCCAATCATCTCTGAATTGGTGCTGACACTGTCCTTCCTTCTCGAGGGTGGTTACTTTTGTTCCCCATGGTCCCAGGACATCAGTACCAGTTCTCAGGGGACCAGCCGATTCTGCTGAAACTAAAACTTTTAACAATAAAGGAGCATCATCCATTGTAATAGCTTTAAAAAATTTGACTTTAATATCACTTTACCTCTGCTAGGTAAAGGAAATGCAGTTGCTTAATTGTAAAGCAGGTTCATGCCTACTTTTGCAACTATGGTTAACCCTTTTATTGCCATGGCATATAGTATGCATCCACGGCAGTTTCAGTTAAAGGCGAGATGCATCTCTGCAGATAGTTCAGACATGCGGTATTCACTAAAGATAACTTTTGCTTATGCATTTTTCCATCATATTCTCAGTTTAAATAATCCAGTTTTGTCCCAGGTTTTACGTGACAAGTCATTTGGTCCTTTGTGGCTGGACGTACAGTGTACGTCTCCCGTCACGAAGGGGTTAAGGGCCTATTCATACCAGCAGCCATGTTGTACTATGTGTGCTGTTAAGTAAACAGTCCCCAGGTGCTGTAAATGACGCATCACACTGTTTTAACTTTATAGCTTTATTGAAATGCCACAAAACATTTCATTCATGTTTGTTCACTGCAGCATATTGCTAGGTGGGGTGTAGTGCATTGCAAAATGCTGTGGTGAAAAAAGTACAGCTATTCCTCACTTAACAACCTGTTTAGCAACCGCTTGTACTTACGACCAGCTCTCCTGTTTAGCCTCAGCTTGTACTTGCTATCAGCTCTCTGATGGTTCGTGTGGGAATGTGGCGGCGGCAGTGCGGCGTCTCACCGTCTTCATCTTGCATACAGTACTGTACAGTACTCTGTTCTCCGCTACTATTCTCGGTAAGTACTGTATTTACAGTACACTGTACAGTACAGTACTAATACAGTAGAGTATTGTATACAGTAGTAGTGCATGTGCATGGCTGTGTGCAGACCACACATTCTGGCCACCTTAGGCCTTGTTGGCTATCCAACCCAGGATCTCTCTCAGGCCCAGGCAGTAGTGTGACAACATACAGTACTGTATACAGCTACATCTGTTTATAAAGGATAGAAATTAAGCAGAAGTGGTGTGAGATCTGGATACCCTATTCTCTAATGTAATTTATTGTGCACCCCATAGTACAAGATGTTGTCAAAAAGGAGAAGCAAAACTTCACCAGGAGAAGATCCAAGAAACAAAGAAAGGCTATTGATCTTGAGAAGAAAATGAAGATCATAAACGACTATAAAGCTGGTAAGCACACGCTGACCGTTTACTATCGAGCAAAGCCATGGATGACACAAGCTTTATTTGAAGATTGGTTCATCAACTGCTTCATACCCTCTGTGAAGTATTATTGTCGAGAAAAGGGCGTTCCCTTTAAAATTATGCTCCTGCTTGATAATGCCCCAGGCCAGTGATGGCGAACGTTTTTGAACCCGAGTGCCCAAACTGCGACGCAAAATCAATTTATTTATCTCAAAGTGCCAGCGCTGAAAATAAGTATAGTATTGTATTGCAGTTTGGGCGCTGGGCTTTAAAAAACATTCAACATCACTGCCTTAGGCAAAATAGGGAAACACACATATTCAAACATTTATACACTCAATAAAACACACATCACACACTCATTATAAAAAGAAACCACACATACATAGATATCACACACATTAAAAACACACGAACACATCGCACACGTAACTGGGACACATAGTACTATGTGTCCCCAGTTATTTACAAACACTGGAGTGATCAGCTGATCGCTCCAGTGTTTGTCCTGCACAGAGGTCTGGTACATATCACTCATATGTACCGATCCTCTGCCGCTCGGCCACGCACCAATTGGGGCTCAGTTTCTCCTCTGAATCTCCGCTGCTTTCCTGGGCAGAGGCAGCGGGGGATCTGAGCAGAAGTGAGGAAGGCACTGCAGCCGCTGGGGGGTAGTTGGAGGACTGAGCCGTTGTCACAGCAGCATGTGCGGTGAGGAGAGAGAGAGCCGCTGGCTGTCTGATCCAGGCCGAGCGTCTCTCTCTCTCCTCACCGTTCGGCATGCTGCTGATGATAGCGGCTCTGACCCCCGCCGCTGCCTGCAGCGCCTCGTTCACTTCTCGGATCCCCGCTGCGCACAGATGGGGGAGAGCAGCGGGGATCCAGAGAAGTCCCACGTCAGGAGGACAGGACATCGCGATCTACCAGGGACTGTTTTGCGATCAATGGTAGATCGCGATCGACCTAATGGGCACCCCTGATTTATTATATTGCTGGTTCGGCAATATATTAAATAGAATCTGGGCACCTGCAAGGTTTAAAGATGACCGCCGCGATTTGCAGCGGCCATCTTAAAAAACTTAACATGATTTTACAGTGACCTGCACCTGGAGTGTGCGGGTCACTGTAACCGGGACCTAGGTTCGCCACCGCTGCCCTAGGCCATCCCAAGCATCTTGATGATCTACACCCAGATGAAATGGTAGTGTATCTACCTAAAAACCACGACTGCTATCTTTCAGCCAATGGACCAGGGTGCTGTAGCTACATTCAAAGCATACTATTTGTGTGCAACTTTTTCCAAAGCTGTAGCAGCAGCAGAAAATGATAAAGTAACTCTTCGTGATTTCTTTAAATCATATAACATTTTAGACTGTATTAAGAACATTGAATCAGCTTAGAAGGGAGTGACAGGAAAATGTATGCAAGGCATATGGAAAAAATGCCTAAAACGTTTTGTAAATCATTTTGAAGATTTTGACAAAGATTAATATGTTGATGTTATAAATAAAACAACCGTGGAACTTGCTAACGTGCTTACAGGTTGGAATGGAAGATATTGAAGATTTAGTGGAATATGTCGAGGGAGAGCTAACTACCAAAGATTTAATAGAGTTGGAAGCACAGGAGCACTTGAAGGAGGAAGAGGAAAGTATGGAAGAAATACCAAAAACGTTCACTGTAAAGGGATTAGCTGGTGTGTTCTCGAAAGTGAATGCGGCTATGTTAGAACTAGAGGGTATGGATCTGAATGTTGAATGGTTCACGAAAGTGGAACGGCAAATGAGTGAACGTTTACGATGCTATCTTGAAAAAGAAAATTACAAAGCAGACCACAGTAATGGGATTCTTCTCGACAGTTACGCCCAGGACCCATAGCCCTACTAGAACTTCCGTTTCTACTCCGTCATCTCCCTTACTTGGGCCTTCTACAGCCCCTGATAATAACTCCGATAATAACTCCGAACAACTTACGGTGACTTTGAAGGATTCGATGACTAAAATGTTTGCCTGTACATCTTCTTTATTTTTGTACATCTTGTTTATACTGTACAGTACTGTAATTTTTGCTGAGTGAATTGTACAGTAGTGTAGCTTTGTGTTCTGTAATACAGAGC